GCCCGTGGCGAACAGCGGTTGTTTATATTACACCCAAGGGTGACCGGCTGATCTCCCTATCAATCATCATGCAACAGCATCCAAACACAGAAACGCTTCCTTTGCCAGTTCTGCAGTGAGACACGTCTTCTCATGTCTTTCTACCGACATACGTGCTAAATGCATGCACGTCATAACCAGCCTACCCTGTCTTGTCCTTCCTCCCCCCACAATTCCGCGGGGAAAACATGAATATGCACGGCATTCTCCCATTCGGCCCTTTCCTTCACCTCCCACTCAACAAACTTGAACACACAGACAGCGAATCGAGATTCCCCTTCAAACGAAAAAAATGCCTCAGCATCGACGGCCCAACATGCCGAGCATTGCAATGACAGCCCTCCCAACAAACATGTGAACCAACCACACTAAGCCACCATCCCATTCTCTCCTTCCGTGATCCATCGGATCCCCATCCCGAAAAGCATAACTCAACCCCATCTCCGGGCTCAAACCACGCGCATGCGATTGCTTTGGGACGTTCCTGCATGGACTCGCTTACGGGGCGTAGATGACTTGCATGGAGCTATCTTGCGATCCGATGAGAATAAACAGCGGGTACGGCGGTTTCCCCTCTGAAAAGAGAAGTCCGCGCTGGGTTAGGAATGGATTCGTTGGGATGTGATGATGCAAGGACGTGCCAGAAGCGGCGTTTCGCATAACATGGTTGATTGGGGGGTAAGCGAGTGCTTGGTTGCGATTACTCACGCAATTGCGTGACTTGAGTTTGAGATTCGGTATACTACACTGACTTGCTTGCGCCACCCAAAGACACCGTCTATCATGCGAATACGAGATGCTTCCTGTCTCTATGCGTTACAGTGAAGTAAGAAAACGCATACACTCCATCAACTCTGCATCCCTGTGGGATATATAGGAAACAAGGTATAATCGTCACGTCGTCCTTCATTTGCAACATGTTTCTTCCGCCGCCTTGCCCAATCATGCCTCGTCCCAAAAGTATAAGTGTGTAGAAGTAGAGAAGGATAACTACAGAAAGTGGATAAGACACATAATGTCAAAGTTGATAAACGCCCGCCCGTTTTCTTAATGCTAACACCGTTGACGATGCATGCATGACCAGGATCCAAGGGAAGAAACGCCCAGCGCCTGCCCTTCAAATCGAGATGTTTTGGTTGTGTAGTTGTAGTTGTACATGAGAAGCAGCAAATCCAATGCATGCATAGTTGTACATTCAGCAACGTATAATTCAATATTCAATGTGTGCAGTGGTGACAATAGAGATGTCAGTTTGCTTCGGCTGCGGTGTCGCTCACAGTTTCGCCTGGAGGTGGTATCTTCTTCACGGTGCCGTTGCTACCACTGCGCGCTGACCGACGGCGATTGTGTCCGATGTCCTTGTGGATGCTGGAGCGAGCGACCTCGGCGACTGTAATGGATTCGCTGCGGTGCGGCTTCGTGGATTTTGGCTTGCCAAAAAAGAGTGCCTCTTCCTCGCTGTCGCTATCGTCGCTGTCGATTGCATGATCTCCGTCGTAGCCAGCAGGGTCATCAAGCGGGGCTTCGAACTGATTGTGGTGGATTGAGTCAGCTGACGCTGTAGCGATCATGCCTTGATAGTTATCATGTGCTGAGCATTCATCTGGCGCTGACGAGCCAGCCGAAGCAACAGACGGGATGGATGGGTTGGATGTAGACTGTGACATTGGGGTGAATTGTTCTTCTGATGAACAGAAAGCCAGGCCTCGCTCTTGACCACCAACAGGACTATTCTCGGAGGACGGGTCGTGGCGGCTCAGGTAATCTTCAACCTTCTGCCGTTGAAAGAAGGTTTCATCGTCGGGGCTAGGAGGACATGCAATGTGGCCGATGGCTGAAGAAGGACGACTCTTTGCCGCCGAATTCGATCGTTCACGGCTGATGTTCGCTTCGTGAACTTTTCGTCGAATCAACTCCTCTTTCGCTTTGTTGAACCTCATGTCTGATGTTTCGCGAGCGAATGGCGAGGCAGACGGGGTTGGCTGAGTATGGCCAGGGTGTATGGGAGCCGTAAGTGGGATATAGTGGTCTGATTTGAATGACGATGGAAAATCCAGCGTCGGGCCAACCTCAAGCTCGTTCGCATGCGCCCAGTTGCGGTGAAGTCGCGAGGACAATGAAGACAAAGAGGACTGTCGTGATGCGGATGCGGAATCTGACCGATTAATAGACCGGGGTTCCGAGATGGCAGGAGAAGCGGTACGGGCAACAGGCGACAGGTCCTTCAGTGCGTCTGGCTGGTCAACATGACCAGATGCCATGGAAGTGCTGACAGCGAGACTTGGTACGCCGTGTGCATCGTCATCGCCTCCAACTAGCCTATCAATTGACTTTGCTCGCATATGCTCTTTTGGAGGTTTTAGCTTATCCTTACTCCTCATACTATTGACGACGCGTCGAGGAAGACCTCCGAACAGGCCACCAAGGTTTGAACCCGTCGGTGTGTCTAGAGCGGTAGGCGTTCCAGGTAGAGCGGGAGGAAGACTAGGTGATCCGGCGCGACCGTGAAGCAGGTCGGAATGCCGTATAGTCTGGACCGAGGAGATGGCCCGATCCGGGAGGGGTGGTCTCTGAGTCTCGACACACTGAGCAGGAGAGGCGGTGCGAGAATTGTCGAAATATTTTGATCGGTCTCTTGCTTCAGGACTTGCCGTGACACTGTGAGATAGGGGATGTTCTGGTTCCCGAGATGTTCGTATCGCCTCGAGGAAATGTACTGGCACTAAGCTACCTCGCCTTCCATCCTGGCTAATCGTACTGCTGGACGAGTTCGCGCTGATGTTAGGGGGCGCATCCTGGTTGTGGACAGAGCTTTGGGCCCGACGTCTCGAGCCCGCACTGCGGGAGAAGCTCTTGGTAACGAAATCCGCTCCCTTCTTGACTGTTGAGCGAACTCGATCTACCCAGCCAATAGGAACCACAGCTTTGTCTAGATCTTCGTTTGAAATCTCAATCTTTTTGCCTTGGGCGGATCTGCCGGGGTCGGTCTCCTCAACCCATGAGTTGGAGTTTGAAATACCAGAAAGCACCCAGGGGTGACGCTTGATCTCTGGTATAGTAATGCGGTGACGGGAGTCCTTGACCAGCAGAAGCTGCAAAAGGTCACGCAAGCGTTCATCGACCTCTTCGTACTCAAGATCGTGAGGGGCTCGCTTGCTGCTGACCATTGGCTGGCCGTTGCGACCGTGTGAACTCGGCCTTGATGTAGGGTGTTCTACGACAGGCTTCAGGCGATACCTTGGAATGTAAGGCTCTTCCTCACTAATGACCTTCATGAGCGTGAAAGGATTCTGGTCGTGGAAAGGTACACGACCATAGATCAAACAGTAGAGAGTGACACCAAGTGCCCATACGTCGATGCCACCATCGATCTTTGGCGTGTCGGCATCTGGATCTGTGCGACATAGCTCAGGTGCATAAAATGCTGGTGTGCCGACTGTCTTGGCTAGTTCGACAGCTTCGTCTTCCTCTTGATGTTCGGACTCTGACTGGTCTCCATTACTTTCCTCGGTCTTCGAACGGCCTAGGTAAGAAACACCAAAGTCAGAGATCTTGATGCGATGCTCTCTTGTGACCAACAGGTTTGCAGGCTTGATGTCACGGTGGTAGACGTTCTGGTAGTGTAGATACTCAAGGCCCAACACGGTGTCTTTGAACGCTTCCCAAGCAGACTGAGTGGTCATCAAGGGGACATAGCGAAAGTGCTCGGGTATATCCTCCTCGCAGTCACTAAGGTGCGACAAACTGCTACCTGCAACGCTTGGCGTCCGCTCGCGAATGAATTCAGTATCGTAGGGACCGTACATGGTACCTTCCAGACCCGTCACAAGATTGGAATCGGTAGCAGGTGTCGGAGAACGAAAAGCAGTCTCCATGTTGGCTTCGTGGCTGCCGGAGGCCTCTTGGCGTTCATGGATGCGAGCACGATGTATTGAGCGCTCATCGTCCCGACCTGAGGTGCGAGAGCTGCGACCTGCTTCGGAGTACTCGTCGTCGGACTCGCCACCGAATTCGAAGCTCCATGGCTCATTGCTGCTAGGATCGTGACGACGTGCATGTGCTTCTTGGTTTCGGCGTCGCTGCTCACGAGCAAGCTTTTGGTGCGCTACTCGGATAATGCGTTCATCCTCCAAGAGTGCACTCTCGTTGTCGAAAATGCCTTTGGATTCGCGCTTGAAGCGACGCCATTCAACCTGACAGATCTCTTTAGCGCCCTCGATCCTCCATCGGACCTCGCCCAACTCGACGTGCTCCAGTACGATGTAGACCTTTCTCTTAGCCGGGTCGTCTATGACTTCAAGCAAGCTCACGATGTTGGGATGGCGGGCTTTCTTGAGGATGGCAATCTCACGCTTGATCTTGTCCTCGTGACTGCTACTCTTGCCCAGTCTTCTGCGTTTGGAAAAGCGGTCGACGATCTTGATGGCGACATAGTGGCCTTTGTTGAGTTCTTTCCCGAGCTTCACCTTGCCATGCATACCGCGGCCAAGCTCGTCGATGATCTCGTACTGGTTGACGATCTTGCGTCCTGATACTGGGTCGGCCTGGACATCGGCAATGTGGGTTTCCTTGGGCGCCTGCCTGTGGGTGAAGTGCAGCCAGGGGCTCGAGTAGAGACCGTCATTGGGTTGCTCGATGGGCTTGTAATGGCGGTTGTTCGGGTCGAAGAGACCGGGACTGCTGACTGGGGAATTGCCGACAGTCCTGGGTGCAGACTCCATGACGTCGCGGTAGTGGTCGTGGGGGAGGCCAAATCCCGAGAGGCTGGAGAGAGAGTTGGCCGCAGAATGAGCAGGGTGCGAGCTGCGCGAGCGGACAATCGGGGGAGCATGTGGTATGGGGTGCTGCTGGAGATGGAGGGCGGCATAGGACTGGTTGGGATAGACGGGCCCATCCCGCAGCTGCTGTGGAGACGCGGCGTATGTGTGAAGTGTGTGAATTGCGTCGAGGGTATGTGCACGCACGGTGGCGCTGCTGGC